TGGGGGAGGGGGGAGACTCCTGGCACGGCCGCCTGGAGCTCTGCTAGGCTGATCTGGGGCAGCAGCAAGAGCATCGGGGCCGGGGCCCTGTGGTACCCCCGGCACCTCCACACGACTGTCAGGCACCAGCGCAAGCCCTGCCAAACGCCTGGGGGAGAAATGCCCCCCCCCCCTTGCCCAGAGCAGCAGATGGAGAAGCCTCCCGAGCACACAGAAAAGGAGACAAAACTCCCTGTCAGGCTCCGAAGAGACACAAAGGGCCCTTGGAACACAGCCCGGGCTGCTCAGCCCCCACCTGGCCGGGGGGCTTCCACATGAAAGAGAGGGCCAGATGGGCCGGGGCGAGCCGGCCAGCGCGGCAAAGCCTTTGTCTGCGCAAAGCCGCTTTCCGCTCTTTGTCTGGGAGGGAAGCCAGCTGAGGGGGCGGAGGGGAGAGGGAGAAGGGCTGCATCATTGCCTGGGTAGGATTAGCTGATGACCTCCTCCTCCAATCCAGCTCCTCTGACATCACTGCTAGAAACCGGAGCCAGCCTGGCTCAACTGCGCACATCTGGTGGCTGCGAGGAGCAGTGCAGGCTGAGGGATGCATTCAAAGCAAGGGGACCCCCGCCCTCCGGTTCCAGGGGTGGCCGGGCTAGTCTGCACACAGCCAGCAGTCGCAGCACCTCCCAGACTAAGAGCACGGCGCTGGCGCCATCGGGAGCATGGCTGTGCCACCCGACGACGGTTGGTTTAACCTCCCAAGGAATACCTGGGCTGCCCAAGCTACGGGTCCTCGGGCCGCCCCGGAAAGGCCCAGGGCCAAGGAACCCCAGCGCAGAGCAAAGCCCAGCAAGGAGCCGGCTCGGGCTGTTCACGATCAGCCTTCCAAGCAACGGCCCTGCTTGTCACACCACTGGCCAGGACTGCAGGAGCCCGCGGAGCCGGGTCACGGGCACCACGTCCCTGCACCTGCCCTGGCATTCCAGCGGTGCGGGGAGCCGCGCTCCGGGCACTCAGGAGCCCACAGCTCCGGCGTGGGGGCTGCAGACTGCATGTCGCAGGCGGGAGCTGCTCAGGAACGAGGCCGGAACACGCGGACCTGGCTCAAGGACCTCTCCCAGCCCAGCCTCCCACCTCACACCGTGCCCCGCACCTCGGGCGGCCACCCCACAGGCACAAGGAGCACTGCGCAGCCAGCTGTGGGTCTGGCTTTGTGGTGGGACGAGCAGGGCGCTGGGCTGGGCTGGCCTGAGTGCCACGCCGGGGCCTGGCTTCCCGCGCTGCCAGGTAGGAGCATCCCGGCGAGAGCCCCACAGCTGGCACGAGACGCAAGGCCTCTCGGCGAGGGCTCGCTTGCTTACGGGGGAAGAGTCTCAGCCCAGGCGGGCCTGGCCAGGGAGCACAGGGCACTAAGGCCGGCACCGCCCGGGGCCCCAGCAGCAGAGTGCAGCGTGCAGGGCTGACAAGCAGACCAGGAACACGCCCCTTGCCCGCTGTCCTAAGCCACCGGTTCCGCCGAACCAGGCTCATTTCCAGCAGCCCCACACCTGAGGCTTGAAAGAACAGCAGAACCTGCTGGGAACTCACCCGTCAGCCTCGGCGGGAAGTACTAAGGCCGGCACCGCCCGGGGCCCCAGCAGCAGAGTGCAGCGTGCAGGGCTGACAAGCAGACCAGGAACACGCCCCTTGCCCGCTGTCCTAAGCCACCGGTTCCGCCGAACCAGGCTCATTTCCAGCAGCCCCACACCTGAGGCTTGAAAGAACAGCAGAACCTGCTGGGAACTCACCCGTCAGCCTCGGCGGGAAGTACCTCTGCTTCCCCTCGCTCAAAGCAGGACTAGCCAACACGGTGTTAAAAACATCAGCGGCCACCTGCCCTATTCCTGCCGTGGCCCTCACCAGCAGTGGCACATCTGGTGCCCCAGCTGCGAGCCAGATGTTTGCAGGCTAACACCGCGGCTAACGGGTTTCCCAGGCCGCACAGTGAAATGGACACAATTCTGCCTGTTTTACTCTGTACAGCCGGGAAAGCGACAGGAAATCCCAGCGGCCCCACGTAGCTGCTTGGGGAAGCCACAGGCAACAGAGGGCTCCCCAGACGGGTGGGCCACCTAGCCTGGCAGAGGAGTCCTGGGCTGGGTTTCCGACCGATCAGACACGGGCCGTGCAGAAGCAGACGTGAAAGAATCTCACGGTGGGGGGGATGTGACCATTGGCTCTGCCCACCTTCCTGTATCGCTCCCTGGTGTGCAGGTGCCTGGGACCGGGCCAGTGCTACCTTCTAACCCTTCTGCAGCCAGCGTGGCCCATGTCAAAAGACTCCTGGGTGCCACCTGTGCGGGGTGGCGCTGTCCTCGTGCAACGTGTGCGAGCCCTGCCCCCAGGCCCCCGCTGAGCGCTACCGTCTGGACCCAGACATTGGGCACCACTGGGAAAGCCCCTAAAGCCACTTAGAAACCGAGACTCCCCCTTGACAGCTGCTGAGGCACCGGGTTCCGGTGAGGCGGTCCCCCGGACAGGCTGTCTGGGATTGGCAGCCTGGGGGCGAGCTGGGACTGCGGCCACAGGGATGCCTGGGCGGGTAGGATGAGCTGGCCCTTGGGCAGGTGTTGTCTGGGACCGGTGCCAAAAGCTGGGCAAGGTGGGCCCGTGTGGCTGGAGCGCTCGGGTGGCAGCGGCAGATGCACAAAGCCCCCGGACACGCCTCACACGGGGCACCGGGCTGGGAGCAGGGCTGGAATCCTGGGCCGCGCAGAGCGCCGGCCGGGGGCTGGCGG